ATTATTAAAAACATGGATAGAAAAAAACTTGAAAATAAACTTGAATCGTCAAAAGCTCTCTAAAGCCAAAGTGTTGCATTCTCCTCTTTTTTTCTAATGGCTAAATATCTTTATTTATACTACTACAAAATAAAACCCTAAAATGTCCTAGAATAAAACTAGGAAGCATAATAAAATAATAAAATAGAAAATAAAAAGTTTCCTATTTGAACTAAAATTCGAAGTTCTCAAAAAAATTAGTCTTTTGACCGAACAAATCAACTCCGATTTGGTCCCAAAAGGCTCTTTTGAAAGCTGAAGATGTCCCCTACAAATCCTCATAAGGAATCTTCCTCAAAATATGCCATATTGACCTTCAAAATGCCCAAAACGTCCAAAAACGTCAAGTTGGGAAAGCTGCACGTTGGGTCTTTATTTCATCGCCACGGTCAAACGGCTTGGTAGAAAAATCTGAAATTTTGATGCAATCATCTTGAAAAACTCACAAACATCCTCCAATTAGAATCACTCATAAATTCATCCGTTTGTTCACATTTTGCTCTAGAGGAAGTCGAATATCCAACATTGAAAATATAATCCAAAGTATCAAAATTTCACAAAATAACCAATAAATTATAGGGAACTTTAACGAAAAGTTCCTAGTACTGTTTACTTTAACAAAAAACCACATTTTTACACTAAAAAGTCAATCCCGATACTATTCACTTTATCCTTTATTTTGTCCTTATCGTTAAAACTCAAAGGTTTTAAGCCTTTTCATTAGTTTTCCTTAAATTTTATAACTAAGATTAGGGTAAAATATATAGTATAATATGAACTCATCGAATATCTCCAAACTTAGCTTTTTGCTTGTCCTCAAGCAAAATAAAACTCAAAAACAAATTAAAAACTAACTAACTAGAAACTTAGACAAAAATTATTTAAGACAAATTTTCACCTTCAAGTTGCAATCCATAAAAGACGTAAAAAATCAGAACATCTTTCCAAAAGTTCCAACTAATCCCACCACAGAGTCTAAGCCATTTACAATCAATTAGAAAATAAATTATGAACTTCCTTTGGTGTAAAGTGAACCAACATAGTTAAGGAGACTCAACTAAAACCCCTACCTTTCGTCCTCTTTATTTCAACACCTCACACATACTAACTTTATATATTTTTCTCCTTCCTTCTTTTTCGTTTTTTCTTTTTTTTTTCTTTCATATATTTATTTTTTAGAAACAGTAGTGGTTGTGCAATGTCTATTCCCTTGAGCTTTCTATCCAACCCATGTAATGAGCTTTAGGTCAATGACTCCCAAACAAAGGCTTTAGGGCACTAGGTGTAGAACACCTCTAAGGACTTATTAACTCGAGATAAAAAGGCTACAAAACCAACTAACCACCTGCTCCATGCCAAGACTCTACCGTTTGACGCGAGAATCATTGTTGATTAGGCATGATTGGCCCAATTACTAAGTAAAGCCTCAGGTGGAACAATTATTACTTTATAACACATACTAACTTTACTTTACTTAGAACAAAAATTAAAAATTACTTAGACGAAAAGTAAGTTTTCCAATCTCACTCCCCACAAACCATGTTGATTTGAATGTGCAAATTTCAAAGTGTAACTCATAAATCTTAGAGCATCCCCAATGGGGGCTTTATCCTCCATGAGACTACTACATTTCCAGCCTTAACAAGAAATTTCATCGCCAATGAGCCTAAAAATGGGGCTAGATCCACCACTGGGGCTAGCAACTTCCTTTCCTGGGTACCATAAAATCGGGCTATATCTAGCCCCCAAAAACAGTGGGTCCCACAAAAAAAGTAGCAACTCATGTGAGCAAAATTCTATCAATCTCCCTCCACTTGCGAATACACTTATACACTCCTTTTATTATTTTTTTAATTCTTTTTTCATACTTATTTTTTCTTGCAATTTAGGTAATTAATGATTGTTTTAAATTCCATAAGAATTAAAATTTCAAATTGATTTAAAGTTCATGGTCATTGATGGGTGAAATTTTCAGATAAATTTTTCAAATTCCTAAACCCTCCACTTGCGAATACACTTATACACTCCTTTTATTATTTTTTTAATTCTTTTTTCATACTTATTTTTCTTGCAATTTAGGTAATTAATGATTGTTTTAAATTCCATAAGAATTAAAATTTCAAATTGATTTAAAGTTCATGGTCATTGATGGGTGAAATTTTCAGATAAATTTTTCTCAAAACTGTATTATCCTAATTTACCAATTGGTGCTAGGTAAATTGTTATGTTATACGTGAAAATCAAATTATTTCAGAGGGTGAAGTGGGGGTTTGTTTCTTTCAACAGATGAGTTTGAAATAAGAGAATCTAATCTACCGAACGATTCATAAGTGATGAAATCTAATTTTGTCACAATTTGAACTTTTTAGGTTGAAGGGTTCATAAAAAAATTTAAGATAGCACATCTAAAAATCAATTTAAGAAAAGCTAACACACAAAAAAAAAAAAAAACCCATTGCTTAATCAAATTACTACATAAATAAATATATATAGCCCATATATATCCCATATAAATAAATATATGGCCCCATATAGAGCCCAAAAGAAAAGATATAGCCCCTCATTGGGAGAGATTTTTTATAAAGTCCCAAAGATTCCTCGGAGCTCTAAAATTACTACTTTTCCAACCTCATATAGAGCCCCTCACTAGGGATGCTCAACAATGATAAATAGAAAACACTCTATTGTGGGATTAACATTCACCATGTCTATCACATCCCAACCCGGGCCGTCACTACATCTCGGGTTCGACTTCACCGTAACACGATATTGTCCACTTTGGGCCCCGACCACGCCCTCATGGTTTTGTTTCTGGGAACTCACATGAGAACTTCCCAGTGGGTCACCCATCATGGGATTGCTCTCGTGCGAACTCGCTTAACTTCAGAGTTCCTACGGAACCCGAAGCCAGTGAGCTCCCAGAAAGCCTCGTGTTAGGTAGAGATGGGAATATACATATAAGGCTTACAGTATCCACTCCCTTGAGCGATGTGGGATGTTACAATCCACCCCCCTTAAGGGACTGACGTCCTCATCGGCACACATCTAGCCAGGGATTGGCTCTGATACCAAATTGTCACATCCTGGCCCAGGCCGCCACCACATCCCGGGCTCGACTCCACCGTAACACGATATTGTCCGCTTTGGGCCCCGACCATGCCCTCATGGTTTTGTTTCTGGGAACTCACACGAGAACTTCCCAGTAGATCACCCATCATGGGATTGCTCTCGCACGAACTCGTTTAACTTCAGAGTTCCTACGGAACCCGAAGCCATTGAGCTCCCAAAAGGCATCATGCTAGGTAGAGATGGGAATATACATATAAGGCTTACAGGATCCACTCCCCTAGGTGATGTGGGATATTACAATGTCCATTTGTTCTAACCTTTAAAATAATCTATGAATATTATCTTAAAAAGAATGATTTTTTTTAATTGACTCAAAAATTAAAAACCTAAAAAGTCTATTTCCCACCCCCAAACTTATATCACACATTGTAACATCCCACATTGCCCAGGGGAGTGGATCATGTAAGCCTTATATGTATATTCTCATCTCTACCTATCACGAGGCCTTTTGAGAGCTCACTGGCTTCGGGTTCCATCAACACTTCGAAGTTAAGCGAGTTCGCGCTAGAGCAATCCCATGATGGGTGACCCACTAGGAAGTTCTCGTGTGAGTTTCCAGAAACAAAATCGTGAGGGCATGGTCGAGCCCAAAGCGGACAATATCGTGCTACGGTGGAGTCAAGCCAGAGATGTGGTGGGGGTCCGGGTCGGGGTGTTTCAGTTTGGTATCAGAGCCAATCCATGGCCGAATGTGTGCCGAGGAGGACGTCGGGCCCCTAAGAGGGGTGGATTGTAACATCTCACATCGCCCATGGGAGTGGATCATGTAAGCATTATATGTATATTCCCATCTCTACCTAGCACGAGGCCTTTTGGGAGCTCACTGACTTCGAGTTCCATCGGAACTCCGATGTTAAGCGAGTTCGCGCGAGAGCAATCCCATGATCGGTGACCCACTGGGAAGTTCTCGTGTGAGTTCCCAGAAACAAAACCATGAGGGTGTGGTCGGGGCCTAAAGTGGACAATATCATGCTACGGTGGAGTCGAGCCCGAGATGTGGTGAGGGTCTAGGTCGAGGTGTGTCACACATTGTCCTCAAAATGTGGAAAGTAAACAAAATTAAAAAAAGATAAAATGAAATAATAAAACGAAACCTAATTGAAACATAACAAATAATTGAAAGACATAAAAGAAAAATAAAACGGCAAAAACAAAAGGAAAGGGAACAAAATAAATACATAAGGAAAGAAAAGAAAGAATTGACTGGTTTGGAAAAGGTGGACGTGGCGTCGAACAGTGACCCAGATGCAAAGAACATAGCTCATTGAAACCAAAAGATGTGGGCCCCGAAAAGACCCATGCACCTAGTGTGAAAAACAGCCCACGCTTGGCACACATGCAAGGTACATGTGTGACTGAAACCCTAAAGCTCTACTATATGACTGAAAACACAGCAAGTTCCATCACCTTTCATTTCTGAGACAAGGTTCTCAACCATCTCGAGCCCATAGCCAAACTGCTCTCTATCTCTCCATATCTCCCATTTTTTATTGTGGTTAGAAACCCTGAGCCTCTCTAATCCTAAATAAAAGACCATAGTGGCGAGATGGTTGACTTTTGTTGACCGTCATTTCGTGATGAGTATGAGCTATTATTTTACCAAAATCGAAATCAGAGTTATGATGGAGGTTTAACGGAACTACGAATCCAAAAAATACTATTTTATATTTTATATATTTTTCATAATTATTATATTAGTATTTTAATAATTTTGGTGGGATATTTTTAATATCTTATTAATATTTATGGCTCTGTGGGGCCTACACCTCTCCCAAACTCTCGACTTCTCTCTCGCCACTTGTTCTCTTCCTTTATCTCTCATTCCTCTCCCTTTTAGTTCTCTCTCCCTCATCTTTCCCGTATCTCTCCCTAGTAACAACAATAACAACGATTACCATCACCGCCACTCTTCCTCCGATAAACCACCCAGACCACCATCCTTCCTCGTCTTCAACCCACCACGAGCAAAAAACCACTTTAAACACTTGGTTTGGGCTACCACCCCGAGAACCCAGCTACTGCCATCAAGCTAAGGAGCTCCGACGAGGAGCTATGGTTTCCCGATGAAGATCTCGTCAATTCCAGTGAAGGTAGCGTTTAAAAACCCTTTAAAACCTAGTAGATCGTGTTTTGGTGTACCTTTGGAGTAGTTTTGAGAAGAATGACAATGTTTAAATGCAGAAACCATGTGGGGATGCTTTTCCCCAGTTTTTCGACAAAGAACTCGAGCTTTGCAGGCCATTTTTGGCCAACTCTGGCCACGACTCGACTTCTTTTTGGTTCGAATCTCTTCTCATTCTGAGCTTCATTTCCATAGGTAAAATGTAAATTTTGGTTAAGAATCAGGCTCGAACGAAGCTCGAGATGTATCCCGACCAAACTAGCCAGTTCCGACTTTCTTCCTTGCAGAAATCGATGACCATACCCATGACTAGGAACGGGTCGACCCGACCCAAAAAAAACCCGGATTCGGATTCGACCAGGCCCTTTTTCTAAATGGATTTGGAATATATTCCTTGTGTTGACTTTTTTGAAATTTTGTTGGAAACCCTCCCAGGCTAATTTTGACGTCTCGAGTTTGTTTTTTACATCCATTTAGTAAAATTCTGAAATGTTAACATAGTTGATCGCCAAGGCAGTTCGGTTGACTTTTAGGATAGACCGTTGACTTTTTACAAAAATTGTCCGGGACCCTTATTCACGTATTTCGACGCTCTGAATCCAAATCCTCACTCCATTTTTCCAAATGTAATCGTTTTAGTTTTACTAATGGGTCTCAATATTATGCTTACGTATGATTACTATCAGAGACTCCGGCTTCCCTCGTTTGAGTAGCTACGACTTCACAAGTATCTGCGAGTGGGTCTTTACTTTTAAATATTATTTATTTATTTAGTTTTTATTTATATATTTAATAAAGAATTTTCTACGTTACGCTAGATTAGATTAACATTTATAAGAATTAGTGCATCGACAAAAATTATGAAGTTATTCTCTGTCTTACAGGGTGCACAAGCATGCGTACTATAAGGGGTTGCCTTAATTATATTTACGACAATGAATAGTATTGTTGACTAGAATTATCGATTTTACTGATGCATGAATTTACTTGCGATATTTGCTCATCGTGTGCTACACTGGTGTCAGTACTCACCCGAGCCAAGACCAGGCTTCACGTGTATGTTTATATCGCACCGTACGCTCACTTTGAATCCATTGTAGGTGCCAGTTCTGTCCTAGAGTGCTATAGGCAATTAGGACTCGTATATGACACACATAGCGCCAGTCTTCACGTGATTGTAGTACTATAGCGTAAATCATTATTACACCCAGTCATGTTCATGTCTAGATATCTATGCATGAACTTGTGTGTCAGCATATGTCGATGAGCACCCGATATTATATGTTCGTTTACACGAGATAGTGTGATTATTGGATATTATACGTTTTGTATGTGAAATATTGTGACTTACCATATTTCTGAAGTATTATTGTCTACCGTAAGTGTTTTCATGCTATGTAGTATATATATTTGGAAACTATACTTGTTTTATGGTGAGGGGTTTTACGTTTTTGAAAAGGTTTTTACAAAACTTTATTTTTAGGCTCACTCACCCTTGTTTTTCGCCCCTCCAAGTTTTAGTGGCAAAGCTTTCGTGTCGACAAGGATTTCTAGCAGAACGTTGTTAGGAATACTTTAAATTAACCCACATTCTCCACATCACTACACGTTATGGCTTCATCACCCTCATGGTGCCACCCAATACAACTCGATTAGAAATCCAGGTAGACATTCCGTGTCGGGGTGTGTCACACCCAGACGCTGAAGCTCTCAAATCCTCCAAACTCTCAAATTCCCAATCAACCAAACATTCAAAAAGACTCAGAAAATTCTTTGCGTTCTTAGCCAAACTCATGAAGAATCATCAAGCACCACTATACATGTTGATTCTTCTATCACCAAAAGTCAAACCCTTGCGGCATTCCGTTCATGCGAGATCAAGTCATCGTGAGCCTTGGATCAACAACCCCCTGCACACACACTTTAAATTCCGGAGATCGAATTAGACGATTTAAATTGTAAACAGATATTGTAACCCTAAACCTACATTAATACAATACATTTGTTAGGAAACTTAATTCCAATCCTTGGCAAATATGACTTTTAAACTAAACCAAAAGTAAGATCAAATCTAATTTTAGTCCCTTGGTACATTAATCACATCATTTATTAATTATATTTTGATTTCTCTTTTTCTTCCTAATTTTAGTGTATTGGTTATATTTCATTATAATTTTCATTTTCATTAGTGTATCAAATGCTAGATATTTTATTGACAAATGCTACATTAGTGTATTGGTATACTTTGTGTTGTTTATTTAGGTACATTAACTTTTTCCTTTTTTTTTTGACAAAAACTCGATATTTTATTGAAATCAAATGCTAGAACTCATGGCTAAGGAGGTCCTGAATGAGATCAGGAGGTCCAGAAATGGCAAACTTAGCTAATCTATGGGCAAACCCATTACATGGTCTTGGCACATGCATAAAATGGACCAGGGTAAGCAACTCCGCCACTTGCCTGACATCCTCCGCTAGCAAACCAAACTCGGACAAATCCCGAGAGTAGTTATTGATAGCAGCAATAACGAAAGTGAAATCACTCTTCACAATAACCAGTCTAACCTGCAACATCCCTGAGGGTAGTATATCTATTTCGGTACACATGTTTAGGTACATTAATTCTGACACACCCTGATCCCAATATCCCAAAATACCAGGATAGACACGTGCTAGCCAATGCAAAATCATGTTTAAAGCATACGACTAATTAAGAATGATGTGAAAGATTTATTATAAAAAGGTACGAACCGTGGAATGGGTCTTACACAGGGGAGACTCAAAGATGCCTAAGTAGAAGTGCCCTAACATTGGGATGGTGTGCCTCGAATCTAAATCCTGAGGGGGCGCAAAACAGAAAAGGTGAGTGGACCAAAGTTTATAATAATACTAATAATACAAAAACCATTTTATTTATGAACATACTAACCCCTGTTTTGAAAACATATATAATACTATATAATAGGTTTACCCTAGCATGCCATGAAATCATTCGTAAAACAAGTATGAGTAAAATCATGCTCAATGTCACGACCCAAAAAGTAACGTGACAGCGCCGCGAATCTTAAAAGCACATGAGAGTTGTATGCTCTAAACTTAGAACATGACAATTCTCATGTATCTTTAAAATACGCAAGGCCTCTAAAATTAATATCAAATAAATATCAGAGTTTAAGTGAAAACCATAACATTCAAACCATTTCTTAAGTAACCTTTTTACAACAGAAGTCCCAAAAGTTCAGTTTACATAAGTCAAATGAGTGATAGGTTTAGACAAATATATACATAAGCAAAGAGGATAAACACATACAATTTTCACTTAAACCAGAAAATCAATATTTACATTTCAAAAGTTGCTTTTCTGATTTGAAGCTTTTAGGTTGACAAGCTACAACCGCACACCTTAATCCAACTCTTCCATTGTTTCTCACACAGCACCTGAAGATGTAGGGGTGAGCGTCACTTACAATCATTTGCCCCCCCCCTCGGGAGGCACCCTAGCTAGGTTTGAAAATAGATATACCTTTGTACTACATATAAAGGAAATAATTTGCACAACAAAATGCTTTGGCATGAGTTAAAATTTATTTCATGCTTATAATTAACTATAGTGGGATTCCTGCATTCTATTTGTCCTAACAACCAAACACGCGGCCAACTATCGTACCTAAAATAAATTCTCAAGTAATAACAACACAAGGTAGGGTAGTGAGAGTGTCCACTTACAACCTATACCACATAGACATAAGTACCCTCCCCTTACGGTTAATGGTACGAGTCCGTTTGTATAGGACCCTCCGGATGTTTAGGGGATCAAAGCCCAGGGTAGTCACACAACCCCCTTCATTCTCAGGTCATCATTACAATTTAGAATGACATAAATCACATGCTAGAAAAATCAAACTCCTTTCCCTAACATGCAGTTCTAACACAACAACAAAATTCAATGCATAGCTTGCACGCATCCACATTTACATACATAATACATACCGAAAACCACTAACCAGGGTGTGAGTCCCCCCTACCTGATTTTCCAAGCTTTAGGTACTAACTATTTCACAATTGTTCACTCTTATCTCTTGATCTTGCTTAAGCCAAGAAAGTACCTAATCTGAAAAAGAACATATCAATATATAGTTCACATGCACCAACATAAGCTAACATGTCTCAATTCCATCTGCATAGTGCATGTATATCCCCAAAATAACCAAATCCATATTTAATCACATGAATTGCAGTTTAATCAACCTTTCCATGAAATCCATTCAGGAGCCATATATCAAATGCCATCCAACAAGCACCACACAATTGAATTCTATAACTCCAAATCAAGTAAAATTTTACCTTAATCTTTTTTAGTAATACTGTTCGACCATCCTTGAGACTTCCAAAACTTTCAATTCAACCATATAACACTTCAAACATGAATTTTTTCAAAGTTATTAACATGAAATCCCCAACCAAAATATAATTTCGAATCTGTAAATAAGCTTTGAATTCTTACCTTCATCCATAGTGCTCGACGTTGTGATCATAGAGGCGAAAACGGACTATAGTTCTGATGTCTAGAAATTAACTTATGCATTTTTTTCTTTCTTCGACACCTAAAGAGAACCCATGGCTGTTTCTTCCCTTCTACCCATTTTGGAAACAGTGCACCGAACACCAAAAGATGAAGGACCATCTTACACACACGTGTTCTCCATTCCTTTTGTGTTTTTTTTTTATTTACAAACACTCACTTTAACCCAAACAAACCTTTTCAAGCTCCAGAAAACTAAATATATATTTTTGGGGTTTTACACTCAATAAAGGTGCTCTCACCGCCCGAAGGTAAATTCGTAAATCTCCTCAATATTGTACTCTCTCTAGGGGTATCATAGTCGCCCAAAGGCAGTACATGTCTATCACCAGAAGGTAAAGCTGTACGACACTGGGGTACGCCAGTGAAGAAACATGGTAAGCCCCATCACCCGAAGGTGAAGTTGTACGACTACGAGTTATGCCTGAGAAGAAAATATATACATCACACACCGACACTAGCCGTGACTAGTGAAGTTGTCCGACACTGCTTTTGGCAGTAAAGCTAGGGGTATGGCATAAATATCATCAACTCCTTATCTGTCCGAAGGCAGTACATGTCCATCACCCGAAGGTGAAGCTGTACGACACTGGGTTACGCCAGTGAAGATACATGGTAGGCCTTATCACTCAAAGGTGAAGCTGTACGACTCCAAGTTATGCCAGAGAAGGAACATATAGATAAATATCCTCAACTGTGTCCTATGGTCATAGACGTCTGCATACTCGTATTGTGTGGATGTGTTGTATGATAACCCGCTAGATAAGTACTGAAAACATATCTCAAAATCTCATATCAAATCTGAAGCTCAAAAACTCAAAGTCTCATTTCAATAATCCATAATAAAGCATATCCACAAATCCATCGAATTTCATATGCGAAAATCCCTTATTTCATAACCTTTAATAAAACATAAATTCAATAAATCATAAATATTTTGTAAAGCAATTTAAATAAATAATAGTATATAAATCCATAAAACATAAATATAGAAATCCGTAAAAACATATTATCAATCATGCTCCATTCATGAAATATGCCATGCATGCAAGCCTAATATTTTATAAAAAAACATGCAAGTTTAGAA